TTCATCCACGAGGTAGTCTCATCAACTGGCATGGCCTGATGATCATTGAGCTAGAAGCTTGGTTCAAGTAGGACCTCAATAGGTGTAGTACCGGACAAGTCTTGCTGAGCTGCGGTAGCCAGCTTAGCCAACAAAACAACTCCAACGTTTGCCTATTAGGGCACTTGAACGAGCTCAACAATCAAAAACCTTCTAAAAGGCTTCACACCTTTCTCATAAACAGGGCAATCTTGTCGTCCCGAGTTGTGTATTCCTCCTCTACCTACCTAACCACCAATTGAGAGTCGTTGTGGATAATGATTTGTTGTGCATCCATCGACAAGGGTAAATTTTTGGCCAACTATAAGGGCCTCGTACTCTGCCTCATTGTTGGAGCTTGAAAATTGAACCTTGGCGTATATTCCAAGTCATACCCTTCTGGCGAGGTCAAAATTAAGCCAAACCCGCTTCCCTGTGCATTGGAGGCACCGTCCATGTATAACTTCCACGTTGGGACGTCGGTAACGAACTCCAAATTCTCTGGCTGATCATCGGGCAATGGGGTGAATTCGGCTAGGAAGTCTACGAGCATCTGGCCTTTGATTGCTATTCTTGGTTTGAATTTAATGTCGAATTCACTAAACTCCATGGCTCATTTCACTAGCCTTCCAAATGCTTTGGGTTTATGTAAGACTTGACACATCAGTTGATCTGTTGGAACTTCAATGGTGTGCGTTTGAAAGTAAGGTGTCAGCCTTCTTGCAGCCATGAGGAGGGCGAGGATGAGCTTCTCCATCTTTGGATATCTTTTTTTGGTCCCTTTTAGAGCCTTGCTGCAAAAATGAACTAGTTGTTGAGCCCTCTCTTTGTTCTTGACTAAAGTGGCACTTACTAAAAAATCAAATACAACCAAAAATAAGATCAAGACCTCTCCTTCTTGTGGGCTAACTAGCATAGGGAGTGAGGTCAGGTAGGTTTTCAGGGCTTGGAAGGCTTCCTGACATTTCTTATCCCACTGGAAAGTGGCCTTCAAAACCTTGAAAAATGGTTGACACTTGTCACTAGAGCATGAGACAAATTGATTTAGTGCCATAATTCTCCCGGTGAGGTGCTATACTTCTCGGGTGTTAGTGGGAGACTTCATTTCCAAAACAACCTTTACCTTCTCAAGGTTCACCTCAATACCTCGACTGTTGACTATGAACCCTAAAAACTTCCATGCCGAAATTTTGAAAACACACTTAGCTGGGTTTAGCTTCATCTTGTACTGGTGCATGATCTCGAACGATTCTTAGAGATGTTGGATGTGGAGCTTGGACTTAAGAGATTTGGCCAACATATGATCGATGTATACTTCCATTGTTGGCCCGAGCTTCTAACAGAAAATTCGATTGACCTGCCTTTGATAGGTGGCTCCAGCATTCTTCAGCTCAAACGACATAACTTGGTAACAAAAGATTCCCTATTCTGTAATGAAAGAGGTTTTTTCTTGATGTTGGGGTCCATCTTGATCTGGTCGTACCCCGAAAAAGCATCCATGAAACTGAGGAGCTCATGTCCCATAGTGGCGTCGATTATTAGGTCAATCTTGGACAAAGGAAAACTATCATTGGGGCACGCACTATACAGGTCTGTGAAGTTGATGCATAGCCTCCACTTTTCATTGACCTTTTTGACTAGCACCGCATTGGTTAGCCATGTCGGGTAATCAACTTCCCTGATGGCTTTTGCTTGTAACAATTTGGTCACTTCTTTGTTGATCACTTTTTGGCCTTTTTGGGGTAAAACTCCTCTTTTACCTGACTGACTTGCAGTTTGGATCAACGCTGAGTCGATGCACTATCATTCCAGGGTCGATCCCCTCCATATCCTTTTGTCTCCAAGTGAATACATTAATGTTTTCCTTTAAGAAGAGTATGAGTTTGTCTTTTATATCCTGGATCAACATCGAGCCTACAAAAACCATGTGCCCAAGGTCCTCATCAATCTCCACTGGCTCTAGATGCTCCGACAATGTATGTCAAGTTTCAAGCTCGTCTCTCATATCATGGTCTTCCAGCAGAATAGATTCTACTTCTTTCTACCTTACAAAAGCCACGTAGCACTCTCTGGCGAGGTGCTGATCTCCCCTTACCACCTCAACTCCATTCTCTATAGAGAATTTCATAACCAGGTGGTATGCTAACGGAACAGCTCTAATGGAGTTGAGGGAGGGCCTTTCCAAGCAAGAAATTGTATGCAGAAGGGGCATCGACTACCAAGAAACAAACTATGGTGGTAATTTGGTAGGGATGGTCTCTTAGTATGAGAACAAGTTGAATGGTCCCCACGGGCATGACCCTTTCCCCCTAGAAGCTTAGGAGACCAATTTTCAGGTGTTCGAGTTTTGACTTATCTATGCCGAGTTGATCAAAAGCTGAGAGGAAGATGATATCGACCGAGCTTTTGTTGTTGATGATAACACGGCGTACCTCTTTATTGGCAATGATGGCCTTGACTACCAAAGGATCGTTATGGGGGTGCTTACACCTTTCTAGGTCAGCATCCGAGAAATTTATCTCCATATCTCTGCAATGGGGCTTTTCGGATTGTTTGAACATCAAGAAAATCTTCAGATCTCCCTAACGTAAACTCGTCTTGCCGAGCTTGAATCACCTCCTCCCGCAAAGCCACCTAAGATGACCCTAATCTACCAATGGGTCTGTTGGTGTTGCTATGGGGGTGGTATGGTAGCTCGGTCCTCCCTTTCTTCATCATTCTATTTTCTCCCCTCCCTATCCACATAGAGGCATAAATGGGCCCCCTGAATCAAATATTTTATTTTTTTCTTCAACTGGATACAGTCGTCGATGTCATGGCTTGTATCATTGTGGAAGTTGTAGTCACGTCTTCTGGGATCAAATTTCATCCTTGGGGACCATCTGATAAATCTCTCGTTCTAGACCTCATGAATGACCTGAGAAAATGGCGGCGTTCAGGGGGATGAGCAGAGCTGGTATGTATCTTGGTTGAAGTTCTTGAGGTAGGGGGCCGAGGTGGTCCTTGACATTGCCCCTCCATTTGGGGGAGGATTCTCTATCTCTTCTAGGGGAGCGATCCCTTATCGGGGACCGATCTCGTCTCTTCTCTTTTCTCAAGCTACGTTCCCTTTTTTTATTCTCTCTTTTGTTTACTAACAATGAGCCTCCCTTTATGCGGAGAGCCTCTTCGCTGTTTATATACTTTTCAGTCATAGTTGCTTGAGGGTTTTTGGTGATTGAGAATAGGAGATCCTTAAACTGAAGGGCATGCCCCGACATGAAGGTGGTCAAAGTGAACTTATCATATACGCTTTCTACTTTCAAAGACTCCTTGTTGAACCTCTGTACATAGCTCTATAGGGATTCGTCAGGTCCTTGTCTAATGCTTAATAGGTGGTAGGATGGCTTTATGTACATTCGTGCTCCGATTAAATAAGACACGACCTGTATGCACAGTTCTCGGAAAGAGGAAATTGAGAATGGTTGCAACCTGTTGAACTAGGCTATCACTGACCCCTTGATGGTTATAGCGAAAGCCTGGCATCGAATTGGGTTTGCATACCCATGAAGCTCCATTTGATTTTTGTATGAGTTAAGGTGATCCATTGGATCCTTGGTCCCATTAAATGCCTCTATCTGTGGCATGCGGAACTTCTAGGGTAGAGGAAAATGAAGGATTTTAGTGGTGAAAGGTGAATTGGTTTGCTGAACGAAGGCCTCCATGGTGACATGTGTTTTCCCTTTTACTACTTCCTTCACGTTTTCCATCCCTTGCTGGATCTCATAGAACCTTTGCTCCCAAAATTGGTCCATAGTCTTATGCAGAGGTAGGGGATGGTCCTCTCTCAGCATGGCTCTGGCCCGACTGTGAGCCTCATCATCTGTTTGTTTTTTAGGCTGTCTCTACCGGTGGTTTTCTCCAGAATGGCTGTGTTCATGGAGGTTTGTAAGTCAATTAGGCAGCATCTGGTAGTCTTGATAAGCAATGTCATTCTGAGCTGGCGGTGGAGGTGGCGCAGGCTGTACAAGTGGGGCCTGTGGGAGGTGGTGTGCCTGTATCTATCACCAAGTCTTGGTTATGTTTTATAAGTTGCATCGTGTCTGACGGTATGTCTCCAACTTGTTAAAAGTAGGAAGGTTTGCTATCGAAGGGTGGTTCTCGACGTCTACTGCTTTGCTGCTGGGGCGGTGAAGTCCTCTGGTTGGTTCTGTAGGACTTGGGGGTTTGCGTGAGATTTGCTCATGTTTGGAGTGGAAACCATCAAACCAATAAAAGAATGAAGGAAACGATGAAAACCATTCCCATAGACAACACCAAGCTGATGGTGCTTGAAATTACTATGCCCAAGTGTAGAACAATGATTGTGTGAGGTCCATTGGGGACTTTGGGACTTTGTGAGTATTGGGCCAATAAGAAAGTAAGTGCTAATATTGGATCAAAGAACAACATATAAGTGGTTCACCTTAGCCGAAAGACTAAGACTACATCCACTGTAATAGAGGCTCTTGCTCCTTGTGATTCTTGGTTGATTCTTTGGTCCTTTATCCCTTTATCTTGTAGTGGTGTCTGCCACCCTTACGTATGTTGTGCCCACGATCCTCAAAGTAGCATGTGTACAAATATTCCCTTTACTAGGGAGTGTTTGTTCGTTAGGGGCTCTAGAAGCTGTCTCCTTGTCCCTTAGACACATGGCGTGATGGGAGTGGTTTGGGATCTATTGCGTATCGAGCTCCAAGTTCCTAGGCTGGTCTATTCTGTCGAGCTTAAGGTGACCGAGCAGGCATATACCAATTTGGACGTCATTGGACTTCATTCCTTGGATTGTGGCCCACTCTTATAATGAAGTGGGCATGCTGCGAATGGGCCATTTGGGTTGTCATGTAACTAGGGGCCCATCAGGTGTTTTGGGCTTCAAATGAGCAGCCCAATCCGAAATTTCATCATCAATTCCTATATTGGTTATGGTTCATGTAGTGCTAGTAAGTGGTTTGGTTTGAAAGGATCCTAAGATTGTTCAAGCAAGTGATTTCTCCTTCAATGGGCTACTCATTGCTGGTAACATGTTGAATGCAATTGGATCAAGAGTAACGCCGGTAGTTGTAGCTCAACTGCCAGGGCTGAACACTCTAGGCATCTCTGTGGCCCGAATTGATATTGCACCTTGGGGTATCAACCTCCACGCACACATCCTTGGGTTACTGAAATTTTAACTATTCTCGAAGGCAACCTCCAAGTAGGATTTGTCATCTCCAATCCAGAAAATCGTCTCATCACAAAATTTCTTCAAAAGGGTTATGTATTTGTGTTCCCATAGGTCTTTTCCATTTCCAGTGCAACGTTGGCCAAGGTAATGCGGTTGCAATCGCGGCTCTCAGTAGCCAAAATCCTGGTGTTATTACCACTGCAAATGCAGTCTTCAAAGCAAATCCTGACATCCCTAGCGATCTTATTGCAAATGCTTTTCAAGTTAATAGAAATGTGATCTATCAAATTCAGTCACGATTCTAAGACAACCTATTAAAAGTGCTAATCATGGAAAGAGTTGAGTCTGGCTTTATATTTATGCATTCTATTATATGATTATATTGATTGATTATGTTTTTTTTATTGTTTTGTTCCATTGAATAATAAGAAATAGGTATTCAATGTGGAATATTATTAATACATAAGATGTCTACATGTGTATTGAATATTATTGCAAGTTAATACTTTATTATGAGTTCTTTAATTAATTCGTTGGACCTATTAATGGACATTCAGTACAAATGCTGCCAGAGCTAGAGCCAAAAATTTGTTTAAGGGTGGATACACTTTAATTAAAAGTTTTAATTTGTCTCATAATAAGTACAAATAATAATGTATATTTGTACTTTGAATATCACATTTGATACTAAAAGATTCATTAAACATAAAAAGGTTAGAAACTTAGTATGCATAGTCTATGCAAAAAAAAAACAAAACAAAAAAAGAACATAGATTAATTAGTACCCCCTTTACAGATAATATGGTGTTAATTACAATCATTTATAATTGACCCCGACGAGTTTTCATACTTGATGGATTTGGAACTTGAATGTAAGCCGAATGCTTAAACTGAAGAGTTCAAGATATATGGGTGCTGATTTCGTGAGTGTGAGAAGTGGTGATCCCTAAGATGGAGCCTTGTGGCTCTAGGTGATGCTAGAATTAAAATAGAATAGAAGATTGAGCTAGAAAATAAACAAGAACATAAGGATTGTAGTGGTTTGCCAGTTATGGAGTTTGGCTAATCCACTCAAATGGAGTTCTTGCTCTTAGAGGAATTGTCTATTACTTGGAGAAAAAGAGGTTGTTACAATATTTTCCTTACCCTCTCATGAGTAAGGGCCTTTGTATTTATAAGGGATAGTGTCGTCATCAATAAATGATCCCTAGTTTATTAGGATCTAGCTCCATTATAGCCTATATTCTCTAGGCCGTTAGAAGCTATATTCCCTAAGTTTGAATAGCTCTTAGAATAACTCTAGACGCTTGAGTCATTTTTAAGGATATGATAGGGTAATCGTGCGGGGATTACAATGCTATGTGAGCGTGGGGAGCAGGAGACACCTCGCTTTTTGGACCATGCCAATAACATCATGCCACATGGAGTGGAGCGTAGATGCATTTAATATGCCTAAAGAGTGAAAATAGCCAAAACTTCCTCTATTTAAACTTTTTCCCCAAATCAAACCTTTTTCACTTTACCAATTTCACAAATCTTGAAGTCCTTCTTCCCTAAATTTCACAAATGTTTGAGCATCCCTGAGAGGTTTGAGAAGAATCGAGTCGGAGGTTCGAGCTGGATAGTAGGTTTCTTTGGTGCTTCGCCTTTGTCTATTTCTTATAGGCAAGTTCGTCCTCTTTCTGCCATCATTGTTGCCCCAAGTTTGGATGGCTTTGATCCCCTGTGGTGGTCCCAAGGAGTTCACTTTTTAATTCTTCATTTATGCTACTTTAGGAGTCTAGGGAGGTCATTAGCAAGAGTAGCANTAATATGGTGTTAATTACAATCATTTATAATTGACCCCGACGAGTTTTCATACTTGATGGATTTGGAACTTGAATGTAAGCCGAATGCTTAAACTGAAGAGTTCAAGATATATGGGTGCTGATTTCGTGAGTGTGAGAAGTGGTGATCCCTAAGATGGAGCCTTGTGGCTCTAGGTGATGCTAGAATTAAAATAGAATAGAAGATTGAGCTAGAAAATAAACAAGAACATAAGGATTGTAGTGGTTTGCCAGTTATGGAGTTTGGCTAATCCACTCAAATGGAGTTCTTGCTCTTAGAGGAATTGTCTATTACTTGGAGAAAAAGAGGTTGTTACAATATTTTCCTTACCCTCTCATGAGTAAGGGCCTTTGTATTTATAAGGGATAGTGTCGTCATCAATAAATGATCCCTAGTTTATTAGGATCTAGCTCCATTATAGCCTATATTCTCTAGGCCGTTAGAAGCTATATTCCCTAAGTTTGAATAGCTCTTAGAATAACTCTAGACGCTTGAGTCATTTTTAAGGATATGATAGGGTAATCGTGCGGGGATTACAATGCTATGTGAGCGTGGGGAGCAGGAGACACCTCGCTTTTTGGACCATGCCAATAACATCATGCCACATGGAGTGGAGCGTAGATGCATTTAATATGCCTAAAGAGTGAAAATAGCCAAAACTTCCTCTATTTAAACTTTTTCCCCAAATCAAACCTTTTTCACTTTACCAATTTCACAAATCTTGAAGTCCTTCTTCCCTAAATTTCACAAATGTTTGAGCATCCCTGAGAGGTTTGAGAAGAATCGAGTCGGAGGTTCGAGCTGGATAGTAGGTTTCTTTGGTGCTTCGCCTTTGTCTATTTCTTATAGGCAAGTTCGTCCTCTTTCTGCCATCATTGTTGCCCCAAGTTTGGATGGCTTTGATCCCCTGTGGTGGTCCCAAGGAGTTCACTTTTTAATTCTTCATTTATGCTACTTTAGGAGTCTAGGGAGGTCATTAGCAAGAGTAGCACTCTTCCTAAATCCTTAGGTTACGACTAGGGTTTTCTTGCTATGTCATTGGTGCACAGATCCTTGTTTGATTGAGGACTAAGTTCTTCGTATTCCCCAAATTCCTACTAGGTTAGGATATTTTGAACCTCTGTCTTTGTCCATATTTGAGGCCTCTTCTGAAGCTACTAGATCTTCCATCTCCTGCATGTTCGGAGATGGGAACAATGATCCTGAGGTTGAGTCTCCTCGTTGTGGGGATAAGGAACCGGAGGTTAACTCATCCCATCAAAGGGCAATGGTAGATCTGGAATAGAACGAGGAAGCCCTACCTATTCCTCATGAGGGTGACTCACCTCGTTGGGAAGGATCCCCTCTCTTTTTGAAGGATACACCAGAACATAAATATGTTGGTCCACGGAAAAGGAAAAAGCTCCAAAAACAAGGGTCGCCAAAAATTACCGAGCTTCTCCTTTCGGCGAGGTCAGAACCCCAAGCAAACCTAAAAAATTGCTAGGGCCTTCTCCAACTCTTATCCTGAGTCATGTTTTTAAGCGTCGACTTAAATCTTTGGTTGATCATTTCTAGTTTCCTTCTGATGCTGTGGCTTATCCACCTTCCAAAATATATCATTACTGAAGGGGCTAGCCCTCATTATTACACGTGTAATGGTATTAAATGAAGCCCATGTGAGGTTGACAAGATAGGTCACATGAAGGAGAAACCATTCACACAGTCATATAAATCGAGTCGTGCTGATCGATAGGTTCGACAAAGAAGGAAAGAGTTTAGTTTTCATTACAATCGAGCTGGTTAAAGCATTGGGCTCCTATCAAGAGATCGACTCTTACAAAGCTGAACTCATTAACGTGTTCAACAAACAAAGAAGGAGTTTGGCGCTTATAATAACCAAGCTGTTTGCAATAGTATGCGAAAAGATAAAGATTTGCCTATAACTTAGGCATTTTTAATGAATCAATCATCGAGACTGCAGATATCAGGAGGAATTATCGAAGAAATATCAACAACTTCCCAAACTGAATAGCTAAGCTGAAGGAAGATGTGCCACCTTGAATTAAAAATCACAGAAACCCTAATAGGATAACCATCTATAAAAAGCAGAAGAAACTAAGGTGAAAGGTACGATGAACTCTCCTTGTCTTCTTACAATTGTCTCAGTTCCATTATTGACTTAAGCATCAGATTGCCTTTGATCGAAACACTTCGATCTTGGGTAGTTTGTTCGTTTTGCAGGAAGCAAAGACTGGGAGATCAAGTTCATAAGTCACTCTTATCAGAAACGTTCAATCTTTATTCTTGTAGGAGGTATCCTTAATTTTTACCCCGTACATTTTGGAGCTGTCTGTGGGAAAATTTTTCATCTTTCGCAACAAAAAACTACAATGTCAAAACTTAGAAGTGCAATTGGATCACTTGTAGGCAGTATTGCCTTTGGAAACTCTGATCCCGCATCCTTTTTGTCTGATAGCAATGCGCGATTGCAGGCAAACAGAAGCCCATCTAGACCCCATGAAGGTAACGAGGTGTCCTCTGCCAGTTTTAAACCCTCGAAGAATCAGAACCATCAAATTGAAGATCGTGGTGAAACCTTCTGTGCTGAGAGGGAAAACCACTCCCTGGCTAAGTTGGTTCAATCCTTGCAAGATAGACTTGACGCTCATGACAAGCTTTTCAAGAAATCTTATGCCAGGAAAAAAGATCTAATCAAAGAAAAAGAAGAGTTGAAAGCCAAGTTAAAAGAGATGACCAGGAAAGAAAAATGTGTGAGAGAAAGCCGTCGGGAAAGTCCTGAGAGGAAGCCTGACATAATCAAAAGTGTCAATGAAAACCATCACCAGTAGAAGAAACCTTGGATCCAGGAGGAGGTTGCATGGAAACATTACATCACCGAGGAGCTCAACAATTGCTTGAAGAGACCAGAGCAGAGGTCGGCTAGGGACCTAGCCAGAAGAGCAACAGGAGAATATGAAGACGGTTTGGAGTCATCTCCATTCACAGCCTGGATTGAAAAGGGAAGAATCTCGAGCAAATTCACCATCCCGAACTTCAAGCTATATGATGGAAAGACCGACCCAACCTCACACATCAGACATTACAGATAGCTGATGACCATTCATCGAAGAAACAAGCCCTTGCTCGGTACTATCTTCCCTAGCAATCTTGGGGAGTCAGCCATGAAATGGTTTGACAGCCTGTCGATGGGAATGATTGGCTGGTGGTCTTAGTTAGCTGAGCAGTTCATAGCTCAATTCATTACGAGCAGTAAACAGCCGAAGGATGTTGAGGCACTACTGAAGCTAAAGAAGAAGAATAACAAAAGCCTGCGAGAGTACACTCATCGCTATTGGGAAACTATGAATGAGGTCGAAGGGTGCAATCTAGAGATTGCAGTTACATCTTTCAAGATTGGATTGCCGAAGGAGAACCCTTTATACCATTCACTCACAAGAAGGCCAACTACGGATCTGGAAGAGTTGATGGCAAGGAT